GCTGGGAGTGACGGATGCATTGGAAGTGAAGCACTGGGAAGAGTGAGAGTTGACATTTTAAAATAATAAGACAATGAAAGGGGAGATAGCTGGGGGGATGCTGACTTTGAATTTTCTCAAATTTTAGGATATGAGATGCTAACATGGTTAAAATGCTGGTGAGAGGTTCTAGTGAAGGGTTTGAAACAGAAGTTACGGGAGTGAGCAAACTGAGCAGGTTCTGAGCAAGTGGGCAAAGATGAGTTCCAGTGCTTGCCACTCTTCTGTTATTATAAGAAAGGAAGAATAGTGTACATTTCTGCCCTTTGTTGGGTTGCTTTTCGTCAGAATGGTCACTTTGAGCGGTTTCTCTTTCCTGGTTTATATTTTCTCTTTAAATTAGAAGGAGAAGTCATTTACTAAAGAGTAGTGGAAAGAAAGGGAGATCAGAAATGTGAAGAGACTTGAAAGTATCTGATGTTGTTGTGCTGTAGTTCTTAAGTGCCACAGAGTTCACTCTGATCCTCAGGAGCTCTGTACACAGCAGTTTGCAGACTCGCCCTGCCCCACACCATGGCCACAGTCTCCGCTGTGCTCCAGCCCATTGTTGTGATTCTGTCTCAATCCTTCCCATTGAGGATTATTCTTTTTTTGCTGACCTTCCACTTTTCCAACATGGTGTCCCTTTCAAAGAACTAAACCTTTCTGACACTGTGTCCAGTTGCTTTTGTGGAGCACTCTGGCTGGACTTCTCCCAAGACAGATGTGGTTTTTCTTTCAGCAGTTCATCTATATTCAGTACTTTCAACAACACCACAATTAAAAGGCATTGATTCTTCTTCAGTCTTCCTCATTAGTTGCCCAGCTTTCACATATATGTGAAGCAAAATACTGTGACTTGATTCTGTACGGCACAATTTAGTGCATCCTTGCTCTTTAACCCTTTAAAGAGGTCATTGACAGCAGATAGGACTAAACACATTGTTTAATTTCTTGACTACTCCTTTTGTGGGTATTGATTGTGGATTCAAGTCAGTTGAAATCCTTGATAACTTCAGTTTTTTTCTCCATTTATTATGTTGTTCTTTGGTCTAATTGGACGGTTTTTGTTTATATTAAAGCATGAACTGTGTGGAAGGCTGTAGTCTTTGGCCTTCTGTGTCACCTGCATATTACAGGTGATCTTCCTCCAATCCTGATGCCACATTCCTCTTCCTATTGTCCAGCTTTTCAAACTAATTGACTTATTATACAACCTTCTCCTATGACTTATCCCACTGTGCTCACAGACATGATGAAAGAGAATGTAACAGATGTCACCCTATGATTCTAATTGGTGGATGGATCAACTTGAAATTTTCAGGCTTTGTCACAAGTAAGTGCAGATCAAGTAAAGCTCACTCTTGCTCCATCTACTCTTTCCCTGTGTCCCTCCAGAGAAACCTAGATCCCACAGAGATGGTGACATGTGATGACATGGTCCTGTGTGCTGGTAGGGAAACAGAGCATTCTGTGAATAACAACGACAAAGAATTTAACATGTAATAATTTTTGTGATGCTTAATTCTGTGCCACTGGTGTAACAGATGCCATACTGGTTACCCATGGTGGACAGTGTTTGGCAGAGCTCCTGGATTAAAAGGCTTGGAAACAGTAGTGGCATCCACTTTCTAAACAACATGCCTCTGGAATGTCTATGAACTTAGAGAAATGACAATAGTTATATAACAAGGTTCAGGCCTTTTGTTCATAGAGTCGCTGTGAGTCATGCTCGACTTCACAGCACTTAGCAATAACAACAACATACAAATTGGATAGATTTTAAGAAAGAATACAATACTGACACATGCTTTTTCTGATTTTAAACGATGCAGTATTCCCTTGTTCTGTTCTACCAACTGCTTCTTCGTCTATGTATAGGTTCCACATGAGCACAATTAAATGTTCTGGGATCCCTGTTCTTCTCAATTTTAGTGATAATGTATCTTGATTACATAGTTGATTGGGATTTTTACCTGGTGGATGGAATAAAGGGAAAAAAGTATGAGGGATTTTTTTGTTGTTGTTACTATTAGCTGTCTTTTGAGTAATGCCAACTTTATGTAAAAATTCTTTAGAAAAAATTAAATATTGCCTAGTCATGCACCATCTTCATATTTGAATCCATTGTTAGTCCATCTCATTGAGCAGTGTTTATTCTAGTAACTTGTCTTTCCTGACAATGTATCCAAAGTACAAGTTGAATTCTGCCATCCTCTCTTTGAAGGCACATTCTGTTTGTTCTAAGACTTCTTTGTTCATTCTTCTGGTAAGCCACCATAACAGTATTCTATGCCAACTTCAAAGTGTACAAATATCAAATCTTTTCTTTTTCATTATCTAACTTTTACATGATTATGAGGTGATTGAAAAGACTCTATCTAAAGAGTGGTGGTTTTTTTCCCCAAGATTATGTTTTTGAAAACAAATATATTATTTGCCCCCAGTAACAGTAGCAAAAATCAACAGGGCAGCAAATAACAAATGCTGGCAAGGCTGTGGAGTGATCAGAACTCTTATTCACTGCTTGTGGCAATGTAAAATGGTACAGCTACTACGGAAAGCTGTCTGGTGCTTTCTCTAAGAGTTGGCAATAGAAATATCATTTGACCCAGCAATTCCACTACTGGGAATACACCCTAAAGAAACCAGAACCAAGACTCAAACAGATGTATGCACACCCACTTTATGGCTACATTATTCTCAATAGTAAAGAGATGGAAGCAATACAAGTAACCATCAACAAATGAATGGATAGAAAATCTATGGTACATTCACATGATGGAATATTATGCAGCATAGAAAAGCAATAAACTTGTAAAACATTATACAACATGGGGAGCCTGGAGGACATTAGGCTGAGTGAAATATCTCAGTCACAAAAGGACAAACACTGTATAACACTACTGTTTTAAAATAGGACAGACAGGGTGGGGAGGGAGGTAGGGGGAGAATGTGTAAAGAGTGGATAGATAATGAACACTGCATTAGAACAGATGAGGGAAGAACTATCTGAAAGGAATTTGATTAGGCATATGTATGACAATCTCGAACAAGGGATGCATTGCTGGGTGGAGTTGGGGGAGCAGGGAAGAAAATGTTCAATAATGAAAAAAAGAATAAATATTACATAAAAAAGGATTGGGATTTTTTTTTCTGGTAAATAAAGGAGAAAAGGAGAAAGTAGTATATCCTATTGGTAAGATTGAGAAGAAGAGCCATGGAATGTAATCTAAATTACACAGAGGTTGATAAGGGGAGGAAGCAAGGTGGATGGACTGTAGTTTCTGAGAAGGTTAAGGATTGGATGAATAAAAGACAAACAGGCTGGAAACATAGGAGACTGCCACCTCGGAATAGGATGTGTTCATTTAGCGTTTTAGCAAAAGGGCACTTTCAGAGATTGATGTGATCCTTTGTATGACAAATTAGAATGTGAACAGTAGAAGATCAAGGATCTGAGAAGTTCAAAGTTATTAGATGATAAGAAGCAGGAATATTGTAGCTTTGGTGTTTCGGTAAGTCAATGATTCTACTCATGACCACATCTAAATAAATGCATACTGCTTCTGCTTCCATTGCTAGACCACTGCCGCATCCTTCTCTCTTTTGCAGATTCCTAGTTTGTTGAAACCACCTAGAGAACATGTGACTAGAGGGGAAGAAGAAAGCTACAGAATTTCTACTCTGGGTTTTCTCTTCCTTTAGTGTAAGCTTCCTTAGAATAAGACAGGAGTCCTGCTAATGCAGCGTGTTAGCATTGGGCTGTTAGCCAGTTTAACCAGTTGAATCCACAGGCTGCCTTGAAAGACAACGACTAGGAAGTTGACTTCTGCAAAGATATTTTGCCTTGGGAACCCTTTGGGCCAGTGCCTCTATATCTTATAAAGCTGCTTCGAGTCAGAATTGCCTTGATACCATTAGTTTTGGTTTTGGGTTTTCTGAGAAATAAAAATGCACAGAAACCTAACAAGATTTGCAAAGTGCAGGGTATCTTTGTGTGTTTTTAGAAATTGTGTAATAGTCCACAACAACCATTTTCTACATCTTTGGAAGTAGTGACTGGGGCTTAAAAGCTTGTGAGCTGGCATATAAGGTGCAACTACTGGTTATTCTTGTCTCAAGCAAGGAAGAATGAATATAATCCAGCACATTAAAACAGTCTAAAGGATTACTACGTGTCCCTAAGCCCCTCAGACCGAAGAACTAGATGGTACCTGGCTACCGTGGCTGACTTGAAAGGGATATGATAGAGGGTCCTGGATAGAGTAGGAGAAAAATGTGGAGCAAAACCACAAAAAGATCTGGTTGACAAAGACTGTGGAACCAAACTCATCCTCATGGGTCAATTTTTAGCCAAATGATAGGCCTAAAAGATCAACAGTAGCACCAGGGAAGCGTACATTCCTTAGAGCCCTCAACCATGCAGGGTTGAGGGGTAAAGCTCAGAAAGGAGCTCAGGTGGCCGAGTGGCAAGAAGCTACACTGCAGTCCTGTAGACCACCAGCTACTCTGAAGGTGCAGTATGGGCAGTCTCCTTCCATGCAATTCACTGCCTTGGAAAATCCACTGGAGAGTCAGCTATGGGTCTCAGCTATGGGTCAGACTCTATGGTACACAACAACAACAAAGCTCAGAAAGCAAGTAGAGATAAGAACTAAGGACACCAATGGAAAATATAAACACAGGGAGAATATATTTATACTTTCACCCAAATCGTAATGCAGATTTTTTATAATATGTAAGTTTTATGAATAACAAGATTAATTTAGCGGATAGTCAGAGTTTGGCAAATGAGTTTTGTCTGCCATGAATCAGAATTGACCCATAGCCAGCCTTCCAGGGGGTTTTCAGAGGCAGTTAATCACATGGGAGGAGATTGCCCTTGCAATATGAGTAGTGTCCTGATAAAGGAAGGATGAGGGGTGTTGTTGACTTGCCTCAGAACTTGAAATAGTATTCTTCTTTGATTGTTTATTTAGGCTGTTGGAGAGAAGGAGGTGAGAGATGCATTTCCAGATGCCACTATCATAAAGCCGTCAGACATCTTTGGAAGAGAAGATAAATTCCTCAACTATTTTGCAAGTATGTCTTCGTCTTCCTTTTATATAATGGAAGAGGGACACCACTTAACCAAATTGAAGTACAAGCCAACAAAGTTCTCTGACTTGAAGGACTAAGGTTATATTATCATTGTCAACATGACCCTTCTTGGGAAAAGAAATGACTGGTTAATGGAAAGAGAATGAATTTTGGAGTCAGAGAAATAGCTTTAATTTTGACTCTGCAGCTAACTAGCTCTGTGACCTTGTCACATCTCAAAGTGGCAGGTTCTTCATCTATTAAAATAGAGATGCTGGCGTGTACTTCAGGTGTGGGATGTTAATGAAATGAAGCAACTTTGTTATGACACTTGGTGTGCATGTTTAAGTACTTACTGGCTTCATTTGTATTCTTAATTTGAGCATCTGTGTTTGAACTGCTTTCTCATTTTAATTGTATTTGCAGCATCACTTAGGTGTTTGTTTTGAAGACTAGGTAAAGAAGTAACACCTCATTTTGTCAGATACATTTTATAGGTCTTTGATTTGTGGTGAGTTCTGTGGAAAGGACTTAGAGATCATAAATAATGATTTGATCATACCAATGTGGTGGATACAATTAATGTACTTGACTACTAAGCTGGAAGTTTAAATCAACGTAGACGTACCTCAGAAATATGGACTGATGACTGCTTCCAAAAAAATCAAATTACAAACTGTGCAGTATGGTTCTACACTGGCACTCAGGAGGGTACAGTGAGCCAGAGTCAGTGACACAGTGCCTGCTACCCTGGAAAGAGTGAGTTGGTATTATAAAGGCTGGGAGGCTTCCTTTTAAAAAATTCATTTATTGTTGCACATCTTGTTCCCTTTCCCTACTCTTTGCCCTCACCCAGTCCACTTTGTAGTACACCTCTTGCTCCAGATTGTTATCATACATATAATGCCTAAAGATATATTTCTTTCCGACAATTCTTCCCTCATCTGTTCCAGTGCATTATCTATCTACTCTTTTCCTATTCTCCTCCCTACACCCCATATCAGGCCTATTTTATAACAGCAGTATTATGCAGAATTTGTCCTTTTGTGACAAAGATATTTCATTCAGCATAACGCCTTCCAGGCTCACTCATGTTGTATAATGCTTTATGAATTCATTGTTTTTCAGTGCTATGTAATAGTCTATTCATTATGTGAATGTACCTTAGTTTTTCTCTCCATTAGTTTGTTGATTGGACCTTGGGTTGCTTCCATCTGTTTGGGATTGTGAATAGCGCAGCAATAAACATGGGCTGTGCATACATCTGTTTGACTTGTGGCTCTGTTTTTTTCCCTTTTTTTAGAGTATATTCCCAGTAGTGGAATTGCTGAGACAAATGATATTTCTGTTTCTGGTTTCTTTAGGGTATATTACCAGTAGTGGAATTTCTGGCTTAAATGATAGTTTTATTTCCAATTTTTTGAGAAAGTGACAGACAGCATTCCACAGTAGGTGTACCATTTTACATTCCCATCAGCAGTGAATAAGAGTTTCAGTCTTTCCACAACCTTGCCAGCATTGTTTATTGCCCTGTTGAACTTTGCTATGTTCTTGGGGTGAGATGATAAAGGCTGGGAGTTTTTCAATACTTACCCAGTTTTTTTGTTTCATTTTGCCCTCTCTTCTCCATAATTTGGTTTTAGATTTTGGTTATGAGGGATTTTTGTTTTTGTTTTTGTTTTTTAACTTGTCTTGAACTTTGCTATTGAAAGTGGTGAAGTGTTCAGCTGCTAACCAAAAGTTGATAGTTGAAACCTACCCAGCAATTCTGCGGGAGGAAAAAAAAAATCTAATGATATGTTTATGTAAAGATTCACTCAAAGTCATTGCCATGTGTTAGAACTGACTCATAGCTGACCTTCCATTGGGTTTTTGAGGCTATAAATTGAATGGGAAGAGATTGCTCATCTTTTTTCCACTCAGAGCCACTTGTGGATTTGAACTGCCAGAAAGGCCTGGCCTTTGGGTTCGCAGAGCAACTCTATGGACTACGGCACTAGATCTCCCCACATGCCTGGACAACCCAGTGAGGCAGTTCTGCTCTGTCCTCTGAGCTTTCTGTTAGTCTAAGTTGAGCAGGCAGCACGTAACAACAACAGATTTATCACAATCCATCTGTCTTCTTGACTAAGTGAGAAGATTTCAGGGGAAAAAAATTAAAGGGGAAATATATTTTGTATGTTTAGCACATACAATTGAACTCGATCAAAGTTCAATAATCCTACTGGATTACCAGTTAACCTCTCAGTTAGTCCTTTATGTAGTAGGTGCCCACGTAGTTTAGTGCATAACTTACTGAGCTGTTCAGTGTAAGGTTGGCAGTGAAAAGATGGGCAGTCTCCTCCTAGAGATTGATAGCCTCAGAAAGATGGTGGATGATTGTTGTAGGTCAGAACTTAGTCAGTGGCCGTGGGAATATACTCAACAGCTTGCCACCAAGTCAGAACTGACTCCTATTTGACTGAGCATTGCATTTCTAAGGCTAAAAATTGAATGAGAGGAGATTGATCTTTTTTTCTCCCTTGGAACTCCTGGTGGATTTAAACCGTGAGAGAGGTCTTTGGATTAGCAGAGCAACTCCCAGTGAACCACCAGAGCTCCCTGGATATATACTGTTGCTGTTGTTAAGTGCCATCAAGTTGTAGACAACTCATAGCAACCATGTGAATGAAAGACCTGAACACTTGTATAACTTTCATTGTTTCTCCAAGTTTATAGTTTCCAGAGGCAAGCTATTTCAGAATTGGATGTCACTCCTGCTTCTAAGACTGTTTTAATTGGGGAGATCCACCAAACACTGTCCACCATGGGTAACCATTATCACGTTTGACACATCAGTGTCACAGTGTTTAGCATCACAGCAACCACAAGTTTCCTCTGTACAGCAAATGGAGAGGGAATTTGACAGTCTTATAAAAGAAGTACTTGAAAATGTAGTGAGTTTGAGAGTGAGTACTGGGAAGTCCATTTTTTTTTTAGTCTTAAATATTCATCGTTTTTTATTCAGTCTGAAAATGGAACTAGATCAAGATAAATGCCATATCAGTATTGGAGGAAACCTCAAAACCAATCTGAGATATACAAATAAATATTTGAAACATTTACTAATGAAAATCAATTACTATAATCTTCATAAAGGGAGTTTTGGTGACATTGCCAGTAGGAAGTTGTGCTGCTAAATCAAAGGTGCACCTATCTGGCTGTTCAATGGGAAGTCCATTTTATCAGCAGCTTCATGCTTTTCCATATTAATTATTTGTATTCTGTGAGTTTTCTATGCATTTCCCATCTTTGACCATGCTTGATTTGAGAGAGAATGCTTACTGATTATTTCCTTACTGACATATTTGGGCTGTATATAGTAGTAAGGCAATAGCTTTTATCATATTTATTGCAGATGTTTCTTTTTGACTTAAATATTTTTGTATTTTCTTCATTTGTTTTTACCCCCTTATTGCTTGTGTCTTTTCACATTTTTTATTAAATTCTGCTTTTAAATGCTTCTTTAAAAGGAAAACCGTAAAAGCAAACAATTTTACCTTTTAACTTAACCCGCTTGAGATTTAGTGCCAAAGTTTTTCTTACAGGCACAGATGGTGAAGCTTTGTCTCATATACTTTGACCATGTTGTTCAGAAAGGGACATCATGTATGGAAGGATAAGAGAGATAGTGAAAGAAGTAAAGACCCTCAGTGAGCCAGATTGACGCAGTGACTGCATCAGTGGGCTTAAGTATATCAGAGATGATGAGGATGGCACAGATAGGACAGAGTTTTATCTGTTATTCATAAGGTCACTATGAGTCGTGTTTGACTCAACGACACCTAACAACAACAGCAATAACTAATATGAGAAGTGAGGTTATTCCTATTCCCCTCCCCCAAATTATAAGACGGCTGTTCCAACACTATATATTATACTTCTATTTTCCATATAGAGAGCTCGGGTGGCCTAGTGGAAAGGAATTGTGCTGTCATCCCAATGGCATGAAGTTTGAATCCATCAGCTACTCTGTGGGAGAAAGATGAGCAGTTTTCTCCCATGTGATTTATAGCTCAAGGGTCAGCTATGAGTCTGTTTCAACTCCATGGTGTAGAACAACAACAAAATTTTCCATAATTTGTGATTCTACTTTTATAATAAACAACATTTTCCTTTACCAGTCAGCTTCTCTCTTTCTCCCCGCCCCACCCCCATTCTCTTCAGGGAGTGGGGTTGTTGCCTGTGTTGTCTCACTGAATGGGCGTCACTGGATGGCCCAAACAATTAAATGCTTGACCTAAAGGTTGGTGCTTGCAGTTCACCAAGAGGAGCTCTGGAAGAAATGCCTGGTAATCGCTTCTGAAAGACCAGCCATTGCAAACTCTGTGGAGCACAGTCCTGTCTGACACACATGGGATTGCTTTAAGTTGGAATTAATTCACTGGCAACATTCTTTTGTTTTCAATTTTTGTTTAAGTCACTGATCTGTGGCTACCTGTGCTCCCCCTTAGAAACAGGCACAATTAGAGTTTACTAAAATGAGCAGCCACGCATTTAGTCTCGTAGAATGAAGGAAGCCAATCCATTTGCTCTTTCCTCGCTCTCCTCCTAATCTTTTGCATTCATGTCTATAGTTTGAAAAGACAATTGGCTGTTTCTTACAAGATGTTTACCTTCTTTAGAATCACATTATTTTTACTACACAGAATTTTTATACCGAACTGGAGATTGGTAGGTCCTCTAGCAGCATAAGGAACGCAGGTTGCTTAATCGTAAGGAGTTATAGTGCCAACCCAAAGGAACCTGGTTCCAATCCACCACATGCTCCATGGGAGAAAGGTGGGTAATCTCCTCCTGTGTAGTTTGCTGCCTCTGGAAACCTTCTGGAGAGTCAGTAGTAAGTCAGTTCTGACTACGCAGTACACAGCAGTGACATAGCAGTGTAAGGAGCTTTTGTGGTGCAGTGGCTAACATGTTTGACTACTAACCAGAAAAGTTAGCAGTTTGAACCCACTGGCTGCTTCCCAGTGGGAAAGATATGACCATCTGCTTCCATAAAGATTATAGCCTAGGAAGCAATTTCACTCTGTCCTGTAGATTTATATAAAACCATAATCAGTTTGAGTTTTAGTTTATAGTTGTCTAGGCCTTCTAAGAAGAGTTTTCATTATCTATTCTGCCAGGTATGCGTGCATTTGGTGGTGTGCCTCTTATTTCCTTGGGCCTGAAGACCGAGAAACAACCAGTATATGTAAGTACCCTGGGCTTGGAAAGGAGTCTAGCTGAATTAAAATTCAAGTGATCAGTTTTCTGGTTTCATTCTGATCCAGTGTCTCCATTATTTTCTTCTGTGTCAGTTTGCTTTGACTATCTTGAAACAGAATTAAGAGGTACCAGTCCTCTCTGCCTTTTTTTCAGTCATTTGTTTACATAAACTGTGTTGAACCCTTAATGTATAAGGCACTGTACATTTCATGTTTAGGCAGAAACAAATTACTATCCTCAGGTTGCTCTCAGTCAAAGGCAGGGAAGTAAAGCAGTCATCATTCGCTATGATAAGGTGGAGTGTTTTATGTCATCGCATCAGAGGATACCTAATCCTTACTTTAGAAATCAGGGAAGGCCTCAGGAAAGTGATCCAAGGTGAGACTTTAAATAGAACAAACTATCAGATGATGGTAATGAGGGGAAAAATATTCTACGTACCAGAAACAATCTATACAGGGCCCACTATTGGAAATTTAGGCCTGGTAATTTCCTGTTGGAGGTGTTGTGAGGTTTAGAAGCATTCCTGGCTTTTACCTACTAAATGCCAGAGATGTCCCCTTCTCCCATACAAGTGTAAAAACTAAAAATACCTCCAAAGAAAAACCTCACACTCAACGGCCATCATGTCACTTGTGACCCTCCATCAGATTTCTGAGACTGTAAATCTTAATGAGAGGAAACTGCCTGTCTTCCTTCTTCAGATCTGCTCGCCAGATATGTGTGGTCTTCTAGTTAGTGCAGTGTGCTGTGGATTGTGCCAGAGCTCCTTAAAAATGTCTCCAGCCAATGTCAGGTGTACTCTGGAGGTGGAAAACACCCCTATTATGGACTACTGGGCTAATGCATCCAAGACTGCCATTTTGGAAAGCCAAAAATCTATTAGCAAGGTCCAGCTGATAGTTTGTGATAAGGGATGAGATGGGAGAATGGGTAAACAGGAAATTCAGGAAGGGCATTTGAAGACAGAGTCATTCTGATAAGACAATGTTTAGGTGACCCTAAATCATCTCTAATATGGAGATTATTTGTGCTCTTGAGAAGTTACGTTCTTTAAGAAACTTATACCATTATTTTCATTTTACTCCATTATCCTTTTTTGTTTCTTTTTTCTGATTAGTGTGTTTTGCTTTCTTTCCTTCTCCCTTTTTTCTTTCTTCTTTTCTCTCTTTCAAGAATGACTTAACCATGTGTTATAATTTCTTACAGGTTGTGGATGTGTCCAAAGGAATTATTAACGTGATTAAAGATCCTGATGCCAGAGGGAAAACGTTTGCCTTCACTGGGTAGGTACCTAGAGTGTTACCTTAATAGTATGCTACATATTACAGTGAAACAATCATAATGGTTGACATCAATAATTTCCAAAACAAATTACTAACTGATTTATTTGTTACATTTTACGGTATGTTTGATGACCTAGTCCATGTAGAGTTGTGCTCCCAGCACAAAGACTGAGCCTTTCTGGAGGTTCAAACCTACCAGCAGCTGCACAGGAGGAAGAGGAGCAGTCTCCTCCTGTGTGATGTACAGTCCTGGGAACCTGTGGGAGGGCCCACTGTGAGTTGGTTCTGACTCAGTAGCAGTGAGCTCATTCCTCTGTCACTGTATTTATTCCAAAAACCTTTCTCCCCTAGCTTTGAGACCAGTGCTGTCTCAAAGACCACCAGTATTAGAATCTCCTCTTTATATTAAATCATAATTTGAGGAAAAGTGAGAATCTGCATTAACCAATGATTATCCTGTCACCGAAATCTGAGAACCACTGGCCTACACTACTATATATACTAACTTAGTCCAGTGATTCTCCCACAATGGTTTTATCTTACCCCAGTGTTGTTTTTTATTATATACAAGGGTATTCTTATAAATTCTAATATCCCAGCCAACACACTTTTAAGAGTAAGATTAGTTGCAGTATTTAATTAGTTCTGATAGAGTATTTGTAATGCCTTAAAAGGTTGCAAAGAACTGGCTTAAAATACTAGGTAAAATGCTGGTGGTTTATATCTACTAGCTGTTCTGTGGGAGAAAGATGAGCAGTCCTCTCCTTTGAAGATTTATAGGTTTGAAAACCTGATAGAGAATTGCTGTGAGTTGGAAACTGCTCAATAGCAATGGGTTTGGTTTTTGGATTTTCCTAAATTATGCCTTCAGATCTTTATCACAAATTCCTGTGGGCTTTGATAAATGTCAATAGCTGTAAAGGGGTTTGAGGCCTTTTGCTCATGAGGTCGCTTCGCTATGAGTCATGCTCGACTCAAGGCAATCAATGATGACAACACAATATATCAATATGGATTGAAGCTCAACAAGAAAACAAAGATTCTCACCACTGGGCCAACTGGCAGCATCACAATGATGAAGAGATTGAGATTGTTAACAGCCTTAGTTTGCTTGGCTCCACAATAAACACCCTTAGTACCAGCAGCCAGGAAATTAAAAGATGAATTGCATTGGGAAAGTCTGCTGTCAGAGACCTCACCAAGGTACTGAGGAGCAACGGTGGCATTCGGGAGACTAAGGTGCGCCTGGTCCAGGCCATAGTCTTTGCAGTTACTTGCAATGCATCAGAGAGCTGGACAGTGACTGACTAGGGATGATAGAGAATTGATGCCTTTGAGCTGTGGTGCTGGAGAAGAGTGTTAAATATACCATGGACTTCTAGGAGAACAAACAAGTTCATCCTAGAGAGGGTGAAGCTGGGCTGCTCCTTGGAGGCAAGGATTCTGAAGCTTTGTCTGACATACATTGGACATGTTGCAAGGATGGGATCAGTCCTTGGAGAATGAACATCATGCTTGGGAGGGTGGAGGGACAGTGCAAGAGAGGAAAACCCTTGTTAAGATAGATTGATTCAGTGACTGGGGTTATAGGGGTATGTGCAATCAGAGACAGTAAGATTGGCACAGGATAGAGCAGGGTTTGGGTCACTGTGAGTCGCAGCCAACTCGATGACACAGAACAACAACAATATTTGGTCATTTCTTGTATGCTTCTATTAAAAAAAAATCTCCAAGAAATTGGGGCTCAGTTTAGTCTTTTGACGTAGTTATTAAACTCATATTGCAACTATGTGAAAACCTTTTAGCTGAATTTTAGGAAAGTAACAAACTTAGGCTCTAAGTCTGTCTAATTGAGAGGTACCAAATTTACCTAATAATTAGGAACTTGTTACTTTGTGAAAGAAACTAATGAGAAGTGATGTCCTGTGAAAAGTTAGATTCTAATTCAATAATTAAGTGGTAGTCTTGTTCCTAAAAAAATCCCTACTTCTAGAAAAAAATTACACTTATTCAAGCCAGGAAGCAGTACACATTGAATATAGCATATATTCTGGTAATATATAGTTCCAGAATTAAGAGTCTCTGTATCATTGGATTGTGTTTTGCTATTACTAATTTAATGAAAAATCCAACGGAGCAGAGTTCTATACTGACACATATGGGGTCACTATGAGTTGAAGTTGACTTAAAGCAATTGATAATTGACAGAAAACATATGAAAAATATGCATTATTAGTTTTTAGAGGAATGCAAATCCAAATCATAATGAGATACAGCTCTACAGATCTTATTGTGTGTTGTTATGTGCTGTCAAGTTGGAACCAGGTCATAGCTGACCTTCCAATGCAGTGAATAAGAGTTCCAGTCTCTCCACAACCTCACTAGCATTTACTGTTTGCATTTACACAGCATTTACAAGCCTGTCATGAAGGTTTGAGAGGAGAGAAGGATAAGAGTGCATAGATAATGAACAGTGTACTGGAAAACATGAAGGAAAGAACTATTTAAAAGGAATATATGATCAGGCATTACATGTTTGACAATAGCCCAGAATAAGAGCTGCTTTGCAAAGAGGAATGGGGAGAGGGAAGTAATTGTATAACAGTGAATGAATATTTAAAAAAACAAGGTGAACTTGGGGAGGGAGAGGGAGGGACGGAGAGGGGCTAAAAATGTGCATGAGTGAATGAAAGAAAATCTAACTTTTTTGAAAATGTTTGTTAAAATCAAGTAAAATAAAAAATTTTTTAAAAAATAAGTACAATCATGCATAGGTATCTATAGTTATCACAAGAGTGCTCATTAAAGCATCCTTTTATAATAGAAAGATTACTAAGTTATGTGAGTGAAAACTGAATCTTGGTAAAATTAATTTATGATTTTACAGGTAATGGAAAATGTAGAACTATTTAACATGAAAAGAATAATGACATAAACATGATTGTGATACATGCAAAATTAGAACTACATTAGAGAATAGGATGTATTATATAACCTCATATTTTAAAAAATAAAAAGAGATGGATTGATACTGTAACTGAGGCAGTGGAGGTTGGTGTGTCAGAATTAGACTGGCTCAGGACAGGGAAGGGATCAGCTCTGTTGTACATAGGATTGCTATAGGTCGCAGGCAACTCAACAGCACAATATAACAACAACATATTATATTGATTGTTTTTTATTTAAGCCTCTTGTTTAGAGTCACCAAGACTCTGGAGGGCCTTTGTATTTAAAAGTCGGTTGTTATTTTGGAGGAACATTCTTCTAAGTGGTACAGCATTCTTGTGTCAATTTGCTGTACTGAGGTAATCTCTGTTTGCTGTGATGCTGAACCTTGTGCCATTGGGGTGTCAAATACCATAATGGTTACCCATGGCAGGCGGTGTTTGGTGGAGCTCCCAGTTTAAGAAAGGTTTGGAAGTAGGAGTGGCATCCGCTTCCTAAACAACATGCCTCTGGAAACTCTATGAACTTTGAGAAACGACAATAGTTGTAGAAAGGCTTTGGGTCTTTTGTTAATTGGGTCACTATGAGTAAAACTCGACTTGATAGCAATCAACAACAACAAGGGGATAGAACTGTATATATTGAATATGTTTATCTTTGATTAGTGGGATTATCTATGATTTTTCCTTTTGCTGCTTTGTATTTACTATAATATTAGCATGTGTGTTTCAAATGTTATTTTGTTAAGTTAAAAAGTATGAGGAAGAAATAATTTGAAATGTTACTTATTTTCTTTTTATAGACCAAATCGGTACATCCTCTTTGACTTGATTCAGTATATCTTTGCTATGGCGCACAGACCCTTCATCCCATATCCTTTGCCACATTTTGCTTACCAGTAAGTAAAGTACTGCTTTTGTGTACCTTCTAGGAGAGAATGAACTTGATACACTTCCTAATGCTTTCATCTAGGGTTATAGGAAATATGTTGTTCATAGGGTTGCTATGAATGGCAAATAGATACATCTTAGCAAAAGTGCATCCAGAGAGCTTCTTGGAAAGGGACATCATGGTTGTAAATATGATGGTCGATGAAAGAGAAGACAACCCCCTATGAAATGGGTTGACCCAGTGACTGCAGCTGTGGCTTCAAATGTATCAGAAAAGATGAGGATGGCATAGAATGAGACAGGGTTCAGGGGCGTTGTTCATAGGCTTTCTGTGAGTCATATTCAACTCGACTGCACATAAAAACAACAACAAGAACAACAACAACATTGAGTGTTGGGTGTCTCTTGTTTGCTTTGTGGCTGGTGGTGGGTTTGTTTTGGTTTTTACTTTAAGGTTCATTGTCTTACTAGTGGATAATTTACTACAGCCACCAGACTCGGTTGAATTGAAAGTCTTGTTATGCATCAGAGAGTTGGACAATGACTAGGGAGGATAGAAGGTGAATTGATGCCTTTGAGCTATGGTGTTGGAGAAGACTCTTGAGTGTACCATGGACTTCTAAGAAAACAAACAGATTCATCCTGGAGAGGGTTAAAGTGGGCTGCTCCTTGGAGGCAAGGATTCTGAGGCTTCGTCTGACATACTTTGGACATGGAGAGAACGGTCCTTGGAGAAGGACATCATGCTTGGAAGGGTGGATGGATGGCACAAGAGGGGAAGGCCCTCTATGAGGTGTATTGATTTGGTGACTGGGGTAATCGGGATGGGTGTATAGGAGACAGTGTGATTGGCATAGGACAGAGCAGAGTTTAGGGCTTTTGTATATAGTATCACTGTGAGTCATAAGCAACTCGATGGCACTTAACAACAAGGACAGAAAAAGCAGAAATAGCCTCACTGGTGCCACAATTGATTATGAAAATAATAATAATAAGGACAGCAAATGCTCATCTTTGCTGGAGCCCTGTGGTTCTTCCTGTCTAGCTTAAGTAATGGTCATGGAGACGTTTTTCTCATGTGCCTTATATATTCCTTTCTCTAGGTTGGTGGCCAGATTCTTTGAGATGAGTCCATTTGAGCCCTGGACAACGAGGGATAAAGTGGAACGGGTGAGTTGGAGTCAGTGCACCCCTCTCTCTGAGCGGATGCTTCCCAGTGTCTAGGAGAATAGGCCAGAATTCATTTTCATTTCTGATAGATTTCTGTCTGAGATCAGTCCTTGTACTTATGCACTGAATCTCTGCTCTCAGTTGACTCTTAAGGCTGCTAATCCATTGTCTTTTCTTTTATATTATCAATTCTTCCTTCTCTGCTGGACCACTCCCATCAACATACAATCAAGCTTATTTTTCTAAAATGCAAAACACTTCTCACTGCATGTCCCCTTTTAATCCCTTCTAAGAGTTGTGCATTGTAGGCCTTTCCCTTCAGTCTTTCTGTAATCTTTTCCAGTCAGGCTTTTTCTCCCGTCTTAACCACTCTGAAGTTGCTCTTTTTAAGGGACCTCTGATCTCCATGCTGTGAAATTCAGTCCTCATTCCTCTGTCCTCATTTACATCATCTGTGGGTGCCATTTATCAGAATGACTGCTTTCTTCTTGAATGCTTGTCTTTCCATTTGGATTCTGGTCCAATCTACATCCCTTCCTCCCACTAGGCCATGTTTCTCAGTCTCTTGATCTCTAAATACTTGCAAGCCCAATAACTGTCCACAGCCCTTCTCTTTTCTACCCTTTTACATTCTATAAATGACCCACCCCTAGGCCCATATTCACTCTAGTTGCTATCTATAAGCTCATGACTGCAGATTTATCTCCAGCCCTGAGTCTCATTCCCACCCCTTCCCACAGACTCTTTTGCCCAACTATTCAGACATTCTGTGATCATCTTGAGGCCCTGAGTGATATAGATGGTTAAGTGTGTGACTGCTAACTGAAAGGTGAGTGGTTTAGACCCCCTCAGAGGTGCCTCAGGAGGAGTACCTGGCAGTCTTCTTTCAAAGGGCCCAGCCTCTAAAACCCTGTGGAGTATAATTGTACTCTGCACGCACAGGGTTGACCTGAGGTGAATTTGACTCGATGGAAGCATAACGTGCTTATAAACAGAACTGTAAACGCTCTTCTCTCCATGTGTCTCTTATCTCAATATCACAGTTCACTGTGGTGCTCAAAAATGTGTAAGAGTTTTCTTCAGTCTTCCTTTTCTTTACCTGTCTAGATAAAAATCGGCACTAGCCAATACTTAACCACTAGCAAGGTGGGTCTGGCAGTGGAAGTGTGACTATTGTGACAGTAAGATTTTTATTTTACTTAATGTTAACTAATTGCTACATTTACTGATGGCTGTTGTAGTGGATAGCACAGGTCTAGACCGTCATCAGGTACTGTTGGGGGAACCCTCAAAATTCATTACAACTAGAACTCATCCTCCTGTCCCTACCTTTTAAATTCCTTTCTAATTATAATTGACGTTGAAAATGCCCAGTTAGCAAAAGTAGAGTACATGGTAGTCTCCCCTGCACTCAGTCTCATCCAACCTCCTGTCCTTTCTTATTCTTGCAACCAATCTCCTGTACAGTGTGTTGGATTCCAAATACCTAGCTCTTCTCTTATTCATTGCCTTCTGTGCTCATCTTCTTCATGGTTTATTTATTCACTATGTTTAGAGAGATTTCTTTGGAAGATGCAAAGTAAAACAAAAATGTTATGTTTCTTGGAACTCTGGTGGCATAGTGCATAATGTGTTGGTCTGCTAACCAAAAGGCTGGCAGTTCAAATCCACCAGCTGCTCTGAAGTAGAAAGATGGGCTGACTCCTGCAGCATTGAAAAGGAGGGTCACCATGAGTTGGAACAGGCAACAGCAATGGGTTTTTGTGCTGTTCCAACCTTTGAAGACCAGTATATTTTATTTGTCAAGAACTAGCCAATTTGTTTATTGAATGTGATCTGAAAACTGACCTGCCAAGAAGATGGGAAAATAGGCCTTAGACTGTGGGACCCACAGTCATCCCCTGTATGACAGGCAGTGTGGAAACCTGAGACTATTCTCAGGGATCCTCTTCCGTTTGTGAGAGGTCTGGCTGGAGGAATAATTGTCACGACGCTTTAGTTTATTGTACGCTAACGTGCTTCTTACGTTGTAATTGAGAATTGTTGATCAAATAAGCTAATGGGATCTGACTTCAGTTTGGAGGCTGCCTTATAGCACTCTACTAAGAATTGCATAGGGCGGAGAACAATTGATGCCTTCCTATACATGTTGATTCTGCTTGTATGCTTTTGCATGTTAGGCCTTCTTTGACTTTTGGATGTGTGTTTTTATTTCTGTAGTGAGCATTAGGAAGTGAAATAAGTATAGCTAAAAAAAGGTGATTAATTTGTCTTTTACTAGGAAATAACAGAAACTGAAGAAGGAAAAAAACCTCAGAAAACAAGCACAAGGGAAAATGAGGGGCTTAGCTAAATCTGCTCTGCTGTTGTTCATTGCTGTTGAGTTGACTCCAATTTGTGGCGGCTTCTCTGTACAGATTTACTTACCGCCCAATCCTTCATCATTCTCACAGATGTTAGTATGCCTGACCCCACTCTTGCAGGCACGTGTTATTCCATCTCATGGAGGTTTCCCTTGTTTTTTGCTGAACCTCTTCTTTACCAAGCATCATGTCCTTTTGTAGTAAAGATCTGTCTCAATACAATCACTGGCAAATATAATTAAGGAGCTCTGCTTATCTACACAAGGCTTATTTCTGTTTGGATCTGTGGAATGGAGCCCAGGTCCTATGCTCATGATTAGTGCCAGGCCCATATGTTATCTAATATTTTAGGACCTTGCCTCTTCTTCTTTTTTTTAAAGGTTTCTCTTTTTGTTTTATGAATAATGAGCTCTAGGAATCAAAATCTGCTGCATGCTGCTTGAAAGAAAGCCAGCTTGAAGGGTTAAATGTCTGTTAAGATACCAGTCATTATTCTTTGGTAGTTTTCAGCCTTCTCTTTGGTTCTTTGTTTATTCAAAGGTTCACATCACAGACATGAAGTTGCCTCACCTGCCAGGCTTGGAAGACCTTGAGATTCAGGCGACACCTCTGGAGCTCAAGGCCATTGAGGTGCTACGTCGTCATCGCACTTACCGCTGGCTGTCTTCTGAAATTGAAGATGTGAAGCCAGCCAAGACAGTCAACGTTTAGAGGCCCTTGCTCAGCCGTTGGTTTTTGGCATCAATCAGGTTAGGCTGGCTATCGTGCACCTCCTTTCTTCAGTGAATCCTGTACATATGACATCTATTAAAAGATCTATTAAAATATTCAAGATTACTTTCTGCAGCAGTGTTTCTTTCTTGAATTCTTGAATGAGAAATTCAGTAACTTAGAACTTGAGCATGCTGCTATCCTTAGGTGCTATTGAGTCAACCCTGACACCTAGCAACTCTTTGTACAACAGAACAGAATGTTGCTCTAGCCTGTCCCATCCTCACAAATATCCACTGTGTTTAAGCACATTACTGTAGTCACTGTGTCGTTTAGTCTCATTGAAGTTCTTCCTCTCTTTCACTGACTCTCTACTTTCCCAAGTCTCTCCTGATAACATGCCCAAAGCATGTGAGATGAGGAACTTAAACATACCTTCCTTTAAATACGTCCTACATATATGTTGTTGCTCTTGTTCAGTACTTTTGAGTCAGAGCCCACCATAGCTGACCTTCAGCAGGTTTTCAGAGGCTTAAGTAAGTCACACAGGCAGAAAATACCCATCCTGCTCCCCTGGCACAGCTACTGGGATTTCAGCTAGATGCTTTGGGATTAGCACAACACCTTTCCACTAAGCCTCAAAAGCTCCCTATACATATATGCATATATGTTGTTGTTGTTGTTGCTGTTGTTATGTGCCATTGAATTGACTACAACGCATAGCAACCTGATGAACAATAGCTCTGACCCCTGCCCTATATTGAGCCAATCTCACTGTCTCTGACACACCTGCCCCCATTGTCCCAGTCACTGTGTCAATACATCTCTGTGTTAATCCATCTCATCTTGAGTCTTCTTTTCCTGGGCTGACCTCCACCTCTCCAAGCATGATGTCCTCCTCCAAGGACTGATCCCTCTTGGCAATATGCCCAAAGTATATGAGATGGAGTTTCAAAATCTTTGCCTCCAAGGTGCAACCTGGTTTCACCTTTTCCAGGACAAACCTGTTTGTTCTCTTGGCAGTCCATGGTATTTTCAGTATTCTTCTCCAGCACCATAATCCAAAGGCATCGATTCATTTTCTGTCATCATTAGTCATTGTCCAGGTCTCCAATGCATAGCAAGTAACTGAGAAAACTATGGCCTAGATCAGGCACACCTTAGTCTCTAAACTGGCATCATTGTTCTTTTGCACTCTGAAGAGGTCCTTGACAGCATACTTTCTCAGTACAACTCATCTTTTGATTTCCTGACTGCTAGTTCCAAGTATATTGATTTTCTGTCTGAGAAAGATGAAATTGTTAACAACTTCAATCTCTTCTCCATCAATTGTGATGCTGCCAGTTGGCTCAGTGGTGAGAATCCTTATTTTCGATCTACAGGAGGAACAATTTAAATCTTTTCTCTGTCTATCATGATGTTGCCTCTCGGTCCATTGGTAAGAATTTTTGTTTTCTTGACATTGAGATGCAATCCATATTGAAGGCTGCATTCCTTGATCTTCTGCAATAAGTGCTTCAAGTCCTCCTCACTTTCAGCAAGCAAGGTTGTGTGATCTCCATCACTCGGGTTGTTGATTAGAGTCCCTCTGTTCCTAATGCTACTTGCCTCTTTATAGAGTACAGCTTCTTGAATAATTTGCTCAACATACAAATTAAATAGGTATGGAAAGAGAATACAAGCCTAATGCATTCCCTTCTTGATTTTAAACCATGTACTGTTCCCTGGCTCTGTTCACAAAACAGCCTTCTGGTCCAAGCGTAAGTTTCAGTGAGCACAATTAAGTGCTCTGGGACTCCTATTCTCAGTGTCAGACGCAACTTGTTATGACCCACACAAATGCCTTTGCATAGTCAATAAAGCACAAATAGACATTCTTCTGATATTCTTTACTCTCAGCCGGGATCCATCTGACATTACCAACTGTTCTAGCCATTTTTGAATGATCTTCAGCAGTATTTTACTTGTATGTGATATTAATGTTACTGTTCGATAGTTTGCACATTTTGCACATTCAGTTGGATCACCTTTCTTGGGAATGGGAACAAATATTGACCTCCTCCAATCTGTTGACCAGACAGCTGTGCTCCCAATATCCTGGCATAGACTGGTGAGTGCATCCAAGGCTGAATCTGTTAATTAAAGCAAGTCAGTGGTATCCCATTGATTCCTGGGACCTTATTTTTTTGCCAATGCCTTCAATGCAGCTTCTACTTCTTCTTCATTATCATTGGCTCCTGTTTATATGGTGCTTCCTGAAAGTTTTCAGTGTCAGTTAGTTCTTTTTTTTGTACAATGATTCTGTGTATTTCTTCCATCTTTTTTGATGCTTTCTGGGTCATTCAATATATTGCCCACAGCTTGTTTCAGTATTGCAATTTGAGGTTTAAATTTGTTTTTGAGTTGTCTGAGATTGAGAAATGCAGATTGAATTCTTCTGTTTTTATTCTCCAATTCCACTCTTTGTGCATTCCGTTATACTACTTTTTTTCCATCTTACTTGGATCCACAATTAACAGCTTTGTACCTATAGTCAGGACATAAGGAGACTCATTGCACTGGGAAAATCTGCAGTTAAGAAGCTTTCCAAATTATTGAGGAGTAATGTCAGTTTGAGGACTAAGGTGTGTCTGATTCAGGCCATGTTCTTTCTGATCAATTGCTATGCATCTGAGAGCTGGACAGTGAATAAGGATGACAGAAGAAGAATTGACGCCTTTGAGCTATAGTGTTGGAGAAGAGTGCTGAACATCCCATGGTCGGCCAAAAGAACATATATCTTGGAGAGAGTGCAACAGAGTACTCTTTGGAGGCAGGAATGATGAGGCTTTGCTTCACATACTTTGCGTGTGTCACTAGGGAAGGCTATTCTGTGGAGAAGGACATGATACTTGAAGAGTGGAGTGTTGATGAAGGAAAGGAAGACCCTCAGGTGGATTGACATGGTGACCATATCAGTAGGGTCTAGTGTGTCAGGAAGTGTGAAGATAGCACAGGGTTCAGATCTTTTGTTCATAGGGTCGCTATAAGTTGTACTCGACTCAGTGGCTCCTAATAACAACCTATGTGGAACAGGTGATTTGGGGAACTGGACTTGATGAAGAAGAATGTAGCATCAGGATTGGAGAAAGCCTCATCAACAGTCTGCATTATGCAGATGACACAACCTTGCTCATCGAAACTTAGGAGAACCTATAACATTTGCTTCAGAAAGTCACGGTCTATAATCTTCAATATGGATTGCATCTCACCATACATATGTAGACATATATATTTGTGTGTTTTTTAAATTGTGTATATATATATGTACATGTGTACATATATATATACACACACACATATGGAAGAAATGATAAATACATTTAAATGTGTTAATATGCAGATGACAAACCATACTTGCTGAAACTGAAGAAGACCTAAAGCATTTGCTGCAGAAGGTCAAGAACTGTATTCTTCTATATGGATTGAAGCTCAACATCAAGAAGACAAAGATTCTCACCACTGGGGAAATTGGCAGCACCATGAGAGATGGAGAAGAGATTGAGGTTGTTAACAATTACAGCTTGCTCTGATCCACAATCAACACTCTTTAACACCAGCAGTCAGGAAATCAAACGACGAATTGCATTGGGAAAATCTGCTATCAGGGACCTCTCCAGAGTGTTGAAAAGCAACGATGTCAGTCCCAAGCCATGGTCTTCTCAGTTACTTGTTATGCTTCAAAGAGCGGGACAATGACAAAGGATGACAGACGAATTGATACTTTAGAGTTGTGGTGCTGGAGAAGAGTCTTGAACATACCATGGATTGTTGTTGTTGTTGTTGTTGTTGTTATGTGCCGTCGAGTCTTTTGCGACTCATAGCGACCCTATGTACAACAGCCCTAAACCGTGCTCTATCCTGT